CTCAGCAGTTTATTGGTTGCTAGTAGTAGGTTCAATCCGGGACTGGGCTACTCATGTAAACATATCACCTCTATTAGTGGGGGACGACCACTGGATCCCCTCTCTGTGTCTCTCCCAGTTAAACCTCAGGCACATTATTATGTTTTACTCCAGTCAAGTCAAGGATTTATGTCTGCTCAGTTTCTTCATCTACATATTTGGTTGGAGAGTCATTCCACAGAGGGATGATGATCTTGCACACCTTCGCTGCCTCTGAGGCAGTGTTTGCTTTTTCTAAGAGGGGCATCTCCTCTTTGCCTCTCAGAAGAGTATTCCTGTCTGTGCTTCAACATAACTCTCTCTATTGCTGAACCAGTCAGTTTTCCACCTCCTAACTTTTCGGTTGCAGGCGGGTCTGTCGATTTCCCCCTTATGATGGCAATAGGTGCATCCGAGCCGGTATGCCTTTGCTCCTGACATGCTATGGCAATGTCTAACAGTTCATGGAACTTTAAATTAGGCTTGCTACTATCTTTCTCTTTTAGGATTTTTCTGACCTTGTTGGACAGCAGTCCATATACAAAATGTTCTTTCAATCATCTGTCTGCGTAACCCCAGCAGAGGCCATCTCCCTCAGTCTACAGCATATTTCTGCTTCTATGTCTTGCAGTTGCAGTGGATAGTATAGAATGGACCTTTCCACTCTTTGCTTTATGCTGATTAAATGGGCCCTAAGGTCCCCTAAATGTCACTACTTGGTTATACACTGCTTTTAAGTGGTTAACTGCATTGTCAATGGAATCCTGGTCTTATGCAGATAAGAGCAGGATTACTTTTCTTGCTTCCTCATCCACGGTGTTAAAATCTAACTTCTACCTCTGCCGGTGGAATCCTATATGATCGGATCAGGATGCCATCTCCTGACCTGTCCCTGTGTTCATAGGTAATTCTTGCTGCAGGAATCCTGCCAGGAATAAGAGTCATTGTTGCAGAGATGGTTGCCTGCTTCCTTCTGGAGTAGTACTATCTGGCACTGCTGGCAGCGCTTTCACTGTCTGATATGGCTGATCCTGTTCATAGATGACATGTTTTAGCAAGATATAGGTATTCAGCCAATCAGACAAGGAGTAATTGTAAATTGTGGTTACACCAAGCCCCGAGAAGAAAGTGCCACCCCACTGAAAATGGAGTACTCTGATAGAAATATGGAAAGGGCTTACCACAGTAGCTGGGCCTTTTGGAGATAGCTTGTGCTATTAGGTTTTGATTGGTTCTGACAGTGGATATCCTCTCACCTGGCTTCAGATTATTTGCCGGGCTACATGGGCCTTATCAGGTATTGTCTCTCTGAGCTCTGGAAGAAGGGAAAGATTAGGAATGTATCTTTCCTGGGCATGTCCAGGAACCCAGGGAGATATGGCAATTTTAATTAAAAGGGCCTATGCCTGCATTTGAGTGTAAAGCGTAAATGGGCATTCTACTACATATATAAGACAGAGAGTATAATACTTCCAGTACTGCATTACTGTTAGATTTTTTATTTAATTTTTATGTCATGTCATTGGAGATGAAAGGGATGGTGGCTGAAATAAAGAATAATGGTCAGTGTTCAATTGTATGTTTGAATTTCCCCTCACCACTGACAAATATTCATACTCTAGGGCCACAGACATAGAGCAAATATAAACCCCTATGTAGATATTGTGATGGTGGCAACCAAGGCCAGAAGGCACCGATGTTAAGTCATAGGACTAAGTATCAGAGCAGCTTCCTGCCCTAATGTACATGTTGGTTTGGTGATAGGTGATTACAGTTTTCTAGTAATGTACCTACTGTAACATATAGATTATGTATATAGGTGATACAGAAATGATTGCTGATATATACAGTATATAAGGATATTTGGATTTGTTGTAGGTGTACTGTTTTTGTTTGGTAATAGTTTTTGTTACCTCTATATGAAATATATGTATTTTTACAGCATATAGGTTGTATAGGATACAGATATACTAGCTGCCATGAAAATGTAGAATGTTTGGGCTTGGTAGAACGGCACTTTGTTGGTTTGGAATTGGTTGACGTTGCTGTGACAGAGACCAGATCATCAGATTCTATTATAAAGTTTTCCGTGTTCCGGTAGGTTCAGGGTGAGGGTGGAATAATAATCTGTCTGACATTATGTTCTATTAGGGTAATTACCCTGATTAGACAATTTAATTTTCCCTCCATCCTGGATGAATTTTGAAGGAAAAATATTTATTTCATGAGGCTTACCAGGCATGTTAGTGGCTTATTATAAAATAATTGTTTTACTGGTGTAATTTTGTTTTGTGTTTCTTCAGTTCGAAATACTGCAGCAGCCATTTTACAGCCCCGTAAATACCAGCATTGCTTGGGCATTCAAAATGGCACCTGAAAATTACAACATTAAAATAACAAACAGTATTGCTGTCTCCACTTACCACCTTCTCTATTCATGAATTCAGTGATATCAACTCTTAAGCTCTGTAACTTTTTTATGACACATGCTAAGATTTAATTCTGGAGTGTGAGGGAGGTTTCTGGTATCTCAGAACATTATGAGTAAAAGGTTTCTCATATTGGTGTCACATTGCCCTTCATGTACAACAATAACAGACATACTGCCAAGGACTCCTTTGATTATAATGAAATTGGGGGATAATCATGTCATGAGTAGTTCCACCCCTCCTGGCACCACATGCGGATGTCAAGCTCTCAATGTTTATTACATATGGTACCTCCTGTCTGGTCTGAATTATAAATATATTTGGTGTCATACTGGAACTTTCCATCTCAGTGGCCTTATCTGGGATAGCACCGGGGGGCAGAGATGGAAAGATTTTCTAAATTTTACATACCTAATTGAAGTCTACCAGTTTCTAAACTGTAATTTGTTAGAACACTGGTCAGGCAGTTAACAGCCAAGTCATAAAGCAGAACTTTACCCATAAAACTTGATAAAAATATTAAGTATTCTACCAAAATGAATGTGTGCTGTAAATTGCCTCCAGCATTGTTCCTGTTTCTTCTTGCTGAAGGCTGCCATTTTGGTGAAGCCCAGAGCCCCTGAACAGCAGTAAATCATAATGCAGAACTAAACCCATTGATTTAACTGTTTCAAATAGCAGTTACATTCCTAGAATGCTGCGATTGCCAACTGTCACATTTGCTTGTGTCATCAACCAAACTGTCAAACCATCAAATGACTGGTGTAATAACTGATCAGATGTGCAGCACCATGGCAGTTGCAGATCAAACAGAAGCGGCTTCCTTGGAAAGATCGAAGGTTTTACTTCCGCTTTGAAGGCTGTCAGCAGATCGGCCTCTACAAATACAGCAGTGCCTAAAAAATAGAGAGCAACTGAGCATGTGCAGAACAAGGTGAGACAGTGTATTACTGGGTTTTAAGCAATATATGCACTTATTTTTAATGTTTTACATAGCTACACCTGCAAAAAGGGGCCAGCCTGAAGTGATCTAGCAGGATGGGTTGACACTGAGCTGTTTATTAAAGCCTGGTGATACACTGGCCTTTGGATCAATACATTGGCCGTGAGATCAAAGATCCATTTAGAGTCTTTCTGTAAATATAGCCTTATTAAAAACACGTTTAGTTTTTCAAAAAGATCCCTCTGTACATAACGAGCTAGTTCTGAGCCACTTTTCACTATTCACAAATAGGAATAAAATATGATAGGCTTCCACATAGAACTTATAAATGTTGTGGTTGTGCCCTCTGTTTAATAATCTATATTTTGTTTAACTATTTATAATATACATATGATGTACGTTTTTGTCTAAATTCTGACTGGTATATAAATGAAATAATATTTTTGTATATATTCTGTTCTGTGTATACATTTTATATATGATACAAATTGGCAGTAAAATCTTGTGGGCTGGTGCTAGATAGAATACATATTATGACTGGGAGGTCACGCCTATCACTATGTGATATAGGATTCCCTCCAATATTCTGTTTTTGCACCATTTGTGACTGATCCTCATTAATATTACTATCTGTCGTCATCATTAACATTTCGGCAATCCTTGATTTTCTGTGTCAGGTTCAGGCCGTTGAATGTACATCACATAGGATAGTCCGGTTTACCATGCGAATGTACAGTACATTTACCTCGTAACCCCCCCTAAAGGACCAACCTCTTTGATTAATGACTAAATTTCACTAAATTACAGCAGTTTTCTGTACCTGTACTCATAAACTCCCATACATTTCTTGGGTTGTTCTGCTGGCTATATTTGATATAAGTATTATTTTCTGTTTTGATTTTTATCCACAGTCTAGCCTGGGAAATATAGCAAAGGATAATAGGGATGCTGCTGCTTTTATTATGCCACAGATGCCGTTCTCTTAAGCGTAATGATGTGCCTTCTCTGGAATTTGCTGTCATTTAGCCTTTTCAAAAAACCATCATAAATGTCTTGACATTCTATTAATAAGACAATAAGTAATTATCCTAGCACGCTGGTGTTGCCTTCACTGTACCATGACACTAATTGGACGCAGAGGTAATGTGACCGGCGTGAATTTCTCCCCTCAGAAAATTTTGCTACCTCTAGTCTTATTGCTGCCACATCTGTGCAAGAGCAGAAAACTAACATGGAAGATTTGTGATGACTGACGGAAAGGAAAAACACAGCCAATCAGTCATTTTTTTAATATTCTGCAAGCTGCACTAGGAAAATAAATTCTGGATCATGATTGGCTGCGTCTGTTACCCCAGTATAAGTTTCCTCATATGTGTTCCATGGTTGGTGTCTACAGACTAAGGAAGCTATTTACTATGTATCCCGATCTGTCCATGACAGCATGATCCTCCAATCTGGCAGTATATGGCCTGAAATGACTGTACATGCAATTCAAAGAGCCACTGTTATACATTATACTACTGTCTATGCAGCATCTGATCTTGCTATTCATTGTAATAACTCCTGCTCTAGTCAATCACCTTTAATTTACATTACTTTGATATTCCTATCAGTTGATCTCCAGTGATGCGGATGGAGCCATCCAGAGAGCGGGGCGATTCCGGGTGGAGAACGGATCATCAGACGAGGTAAAGAGGCAAGGAACATCATTCGGTTTCTTCCATTTTATATCTGCAATTAGGTTGATGGAGAGCTCTCAGGGATGTACGATAAGTGGCCTGTTATTTGTACTCCCTGTTTACTGCTGGTTTTCTGCAGTCATGACGGATATAGATGGGGCTCAGAGTCAAGTACTTTATGTACATAAATTGATGAATAATCCGATATTTAACAAGGTGTCAGATCTGTATTTCTGAATTATGTTTTTCTGTCTCTTGGTCTCTGGCACATAAGGCCCATGTAAATCTCCTCTCTGAATTCAGTTTTCATTGCTTTGGCAATGCTGGTGTCCTTCTCAGTTTTCTGTGGTCATCCCGAATCTTTCTTTCAGTTAGTTTAGTAAATAGTCAGTCACCGTCATAGCAGTGCAGAACAGAGGTCGGCAGTGGAACTGATCAGCCGTAGGTACATTTAGCAAGGTGCTGTGTTATCCGTATATTCATTTTTTCTGCCCTGATTAAATCTGGATTGGTGCTGTGATTCTGGAGGGAATTCTGGCTAGAAGTTTTTCTAGTGTAGGACATAAGAATTTTAGACTACAGACTGAGTCTCCCTGGCAGTTCTGTGGATACATACATACAGAGAGAAGTGCACCTGGAAGGGGAGAGCTCAACTCCAGGCAATGAGCCAGATGCACAGCTGAAATACATATACTGTCTGGGAGCTGTTTACCTGGCAAACGATTCGAATTTCTGAAAAACCTGTCCTGAGATATACAGACCAAACAGACAGCACAGTCATCGTGGTAACCTCACTAACCTGCACAAAAGTGCCAGTCCACACTGGAATCACACAGCAACACGCTCCATGTTCCTGTGCGATTCTATGTGATGCAAGGCACCACAACCAGATCGCATGGTACTGCGGTACCATGCAATCTGGGCAAATGCACTGAATATTCGATATGCGTTTTGGGGTGTCTTAGAAATTTGTCACCTGCAGCAGATCACACACCAAGTGAGTTAGTAGCGCAGTGTGGGAAACTCACAGAACACTGGTTTCCAACACTGCATTCCGATATGAACGGGCACTATAAAGCAGAACTAAAGTGATAGATTTAAAGACTGCAAGCAGGCAAAGCTGTTTACGTGCAATGTTTCTAATGCTAGAAAATAAACCTAACTGCCTGTTCAGTGTTCATTGGAATTTACATTGTGCTGCACAAGAACAGCTCCGTTTACATTCCGGCAAGGTCTATGAAGTCCTGCACATGCGCAATAGCAACATCATGCTAAACCAGCCAATGAAGATAGCTGCAGCATAGCACACAGAAGAACCCGGGTAGGAGATACCGTCGGACGATTAAAGGAGACGATTAATCAGGACTTTAGTTCTGCTTTAAGCAACACACTAAGGGAACCCCTCTGTTCCCAGCCTCTGTTGGACAATGAAGGAGCAGAAAAAGATCATCTCTACCTTCTCTTCCTGTCTGCATATTACTTGTCAGCACACATGTGCATATAGAACACCTGAATGGCCTCAAATGTTGTACTGCAGTACATAGGGTTATAAAGAATGAGCTTTATTCAGAGTCAGGTATTTATACTAGGTATGTTCAAAAATACACTTAGAGGTCTTTTTATAAACATTTCTTGCTTGAGTGTCATAGTTATGTAGTTAGTCTGGCTGAAAAAAAAAACAAAAGTCCATCCAGTTCAACTACAAAAAAAAAAAGTTATAATCCTATACCCACATTGATCCAGAGGGAGTAAGGGAGTCTATTCCACATTTTCACAGCTCTCACTGTGTTTGGAGATTACATTTCTTTTCCTCCAGACATAAAGAGTGCCCCTTGTCCTCTGTGATGTCCTCAGGGTGAGTATCTCTACACTGAGTTCACTATATGAACCACTGATGTATTTATACATGTTGTTCATATCCCCCCTTAATCTCCTCTCCTCAAGAGAGAATACATTCAGTTCCTCTAATCTTTCCTCATAGCTGAGCTCCTCCATGCCTCTTATCAGTTTGGTTGCCCTTCTCTGTACTTTCTCCAGTTCCCCAATGTTCTTTTTGTGAATTGGTTCCCAAAACTGAACTGCATATTCCAGTTGAGGTATTACTAATGATTTGTACAGGGGTAATATGATATCTCTCTGTCTGGAGTCTATATCTCTTTTAATACAAGAGAGGATTTTGCTCACTTTAGAAATTGCAGCTTGGCATTGCATGCCATTATTAAGCTTGTGATCTATCAGAACCCCCAGATCCTTCTCCACCATTGATTTCCCCAGTTGTACCCCCCCCCCCCCCTAGTATGTATGATGCATGCATATTCTTAGCCCGCAAGTGCATAACCTTACATTTATCACCATTAAACCTCATTTGCCACATAGTTGCCCAATTAAAGAGTGCATTGAGGTCGTCTTGTAAATTGAAGACCTCCTATAAGGACGTTATTCCACTGCACAGCTTGGTGTCATCTGCAAACACTGAAATGGTATTTTTAATCCCAGACCCTATATTGTTTATAAATATATTAAAAAGTGTCAGAAGCATTTGTGCAAGCTGAACCATATGTCATTGTAGTAAAGAGATTAATGCCGGTATTGTAAACTCCAGTTAGTGGGCAAAATGTGGTATAGATTTCTGCAATGCCTTAGAAATATGTAGACCACTAGATGAAGCTGATGATACAGGAACTAATCTTACAAAAATTATGGTGACTTTTCATTCAGCCTGCACAAATGCTTCTAGCATTCATGCAATGAATGTTTTATAAATAGACACCTTAATATTTTATATACCATTATTGCATTGAAGAATATTTTATATTTGCCTGGATTTTATTTTTAAAGTTAAAGTTCAAAAATACTATATAATCCAGAATCATTTTTTGACAGTAAGGAGAGGGCTCTGTATGGCACCGCTTCCTGTAATCTCACTGATGTGAGTCTTGGTGTCAGGTGATGCTCTTTGCATTGAGAAGAACTAAGCCAGAGAGATAAAATAGACCAATAAATATTCTTGTTTGCCCTGTTTCATCTGCCTCTTTGATATCCTAGAATTGTACTGTTCGTGATGTAAATCCATTAGGGCAGTGAAATTGGTCAAGAGACATATTTATGTTTGTAAGAGTGGATTAGAGGGAAGCAGATGTACTGCCATACATCGGGGGACTCTCTTTATTCAATAGGATTCCTTTCGTTCAGCCATTCTAAGTCACCTAGTGCCTGAAACTTCATAGAATCCTTCCAACCCAAAGCACTTGCATTCATTTTATTTATTCATATGTTTTTAATTATGTCTTTCTACATTGACTCCTTGAAGGCTGCTTAGTCTATGCTCATTCTAGTACCCTATATAATATATATTGCTGTTTATAGTCCTTGTCACTTGTTTTGATCTGAAAGAATCTCTATCATTGCTCATATTACTCTGCTAATAATCTATTTAATTATCTACAATACTTCTCCAGACAGAGGTGTATCACCAAGGGCTGCACTATGAATCATAAGTAGATATGGTGATGTAGCGCTAATACCATGTGATAACTGACATAAGAAACTTGATATTAAATGGTTGAATACACAAATAGTATTAATAAATATATAGGTGTACAGTGGTGCACCTAATGTGTATCCCAAAAACATGCCATCAAGAATGTGACTAAATATAAGTGATAGGTGATTTAAGTGAAACAAATATTAACCAAATATAAATACATGTGATCATGAATGAACAATATTTATAAATCGTATAGTGCAAAGTCCGAAACGTATAACTGTGATGAATCAATCTTCAACCGTGAAAATGAATATGTGCTCAAGTGCATCAGACCATCTGTCACCATCTAGCGTGCACACTTACCTCCAATCTTTGACCCTCAAGGAGTCATAAGGCATAACAAATCACCAGTATAGTTCAAGGTGGGATGAATCTCACTCTCTGGATGGACACAGGATCAGCTTCCACACAGCCCACGGTTAATCAACCATTACAATGGTAAGGCACCTTTACAAAACTCCTCCACTCTCCCAATGGCTCAGGGAATCAGAGAAAAAGACACCATAGTGTAATATAGTAAAGTTTATTATACCATACACAAATGCCAAAGACCTACTCACACATTAAAATCGGGTCATAGACCCACCAGGCATGAACTGTATAACCCACAGTCAGGGTGCTTGCATAGGGAGTCCAAAAATGGCTGCCGTCCATGCGTAATTGCGTCACCACGCTCTAATCCGACATGTTGCATCACGATAACACGTGACTTCTCCAGGGATACCTGATACTATGAATCATGTGATCTCTTGCTTTGACCCATGTCTTTCGTGTGTTACAGAATACAGAATACACGCCGGGTATATGGAGGAGAACGGACGTACATCTGGAAAACCCGGAGTATCACACACGATGGTACTTCAAATATTTCCTCGGTAAAGGTGTGTCTCTTTCAGCCATATTTTCACTTTCCTGCACTTCCCCTCTTTACAGACAGAACATAACTTCACACCTATATATGTATTAATCACACAACATACACGAAGACCAGAATGGGTCATCTATGTAATGAATTATGATTGCAGATTACAGTATAATGTCCTTCCTATAAACCTGACAGAATAAATAGAAAGTGCTGTGATGTTGTATTTGTCATTGAACAGTTCACCAGAACTACATAGGAACTGATGCGGAACGAAACCCATTTTTCCTATCTGTGGTCCTCTCTGACCAAAATAACCAGCGCATACCGCAGTACCGTGCAATCTTATGGCGGAAAACAGTAAGTGACACAATGGTGGGATATTTTATCACTGATGGTTAACACACAGGACAGACTGTGAGCTTCTTTCCATTGATGACGGAATGTAATAATATTTACTGGCAGAGTTAGAAGTCCTCTGACATTAGCTGCTGCTGTCAGCCTGTGTGTGAGATGTTTAGCCAGACTGATTGTTATCCCTGTATGTGTTTGGCTCCATACCGCCTTCTGTCTTTCTCCTCAGACAGATGGTGCAGCTGAAGAGTTGACAGACTTCTGTTTTTGTGTCAGCAGGTGAATCCTGTGTGTATTCCTGCTGTTCTTGTGATAGGGAACTTTAGTGTGCAGCTGGTAGAGGAAACTTGTGATATTTAGGGTGGGGGCCAGGGAATGAAGTAGACGGCCTTTGCACCAGTGCAGTTTAAAGCGTTTTGATAATCCATTAAATTTCCACTATAACCTTGGCAAGCTGACATAAGTATGATGGAAAGTCTGCTGTATAATGCAAGGACATTGCCTTTTTTATATACTCCCTCACGTCCTTTTCACTACTTTTTAACGCCACGTTTATTTCATTAATCACCTTTTTTTCTTTTGCCCCCTTTCATGCAGCTATATCACTGGGTTCAGAAGCCATCATCTGACAAGGCAATTCAGCCTCTGACACATCATACAAACAGTGCTCCAAATCTCTCATAACAGTCTGATTAAAGCTGGCCACACACCTAAAATCTGATGGTATAATCTCATTTAGATCTACCAATGATTATGTAAAATACAGGCCTGCTTGATTGGCTACACATTAAATGGATTGTTTAGGTAGACCGTCACTCTGCATAAGGGCTTGTATATACTAACGGTAATGGTAGCCTTCTTAAGAGTGATCCATGATGGATTGCTTTTTAGAGGTCATCTTACAGACACTGAGGAGATATTATGTTGCCTTCTCACCATCTGATTAATTCCCTAAAAGCCAACGAAGCATGGGGGGGGGGATAGTTATCGACGCACTATGCAAAGCATTATGGCCCCAGCATGTGTCCCCATACAGCTGCCTTTACAACTTAAGGGCTCAGCTACTTCTTTTTACTGCCCCCTAACCACAAGTGTAAACTAGGCCTTAATGTTGGACTATGTAGGAAATATTGTATATACAGACTGTAGATTGTGTATGCAGATTTACGTAACATTTACAGACGAGGGAGTAAAGCTAGATACACTTTGTACTGCAAGGAATTTTTCAACATTTAATACACTTGCTCCATTATGTGGTAATGAATCCCTTTATTAAAGGTGCTTTCTCTTGTTTGTCAGGGTACACAGAAAATCTGCCTTCCATATAGCCCCACAAAAACATTATCGGTGAAATCCATATTAAGGTAAATGCTGTGTGTCAGGTCAGTGTGTGACATACTGTATGTGATAGTGTGTACTTTGGGTGCTGGCAGCACAGGACACAATGGGAAGGGCTAATTATACTGATATTTCTGTTACAGTGCCATGAATTTGGACAGGTTTGAGAAGAGTCCTCGTGAAATTCTTAATCCAGAGATTCAAAAGGTAAGGCAGTGTTTTAATGAGCAGATCTCTGTATCTGCAATCTTATCTCTGTAATACAAAGAAAGCAATCACTGTTTTGTTTAGACAGTGACAGTGATGGATTGTTTCTTTTTAGCAATCATATGATGTATGTACAACCCCAATTCCAAAGTTGGGACGCTGTGTACAATCTACATAAATCCAGAATGAAATTTGCAAACCTCAGAAACTCAATAAAAGAAAATAGAAAACATATCAAATGTTCAAATTGGGCAAATTCATCATTTGCCCTCCAGAGGATTTACCCCCCTTCCTGACCAGGCCATTTTTTGCGATACGGCGCTGTCATGCAATGTTGTACATAAATAAAATGTATGTTCTGTTTTTCCCACAAATAGAGCTTTCTTTAGGTGATATTTCATCACCTCTGCGTTTTTTATTTTTTGTGCTATAAACAAAAAAAGACCAACAATTCTGAAAAAAAAAAAAAAATATTTTTGACTGTATGCTATAAAACATATCCAGTAAAAAAAAAAATGTTAAAAATAAAATTTCTTCATAAATTTAGGCCAAAATGTATTCTGCTACATGTCTTTGCTAAAAAAAATCCCAATATGTGTAAATTAAATTGGTTTACGTGAAAGTTATAGCGTCAACAAATGGCAGTATATATACTGGAATTTTTTTTTTTACTAGTAATGGCAGCGATCAGCGACTTATTGTGGGATTGCGGCGGGCATTCTGCTGTGCAGAGCAATACAAAGCAGCCTGTTTGTGCTGACAGGGGAGAGATCTGTGTTGTTTACATAGAGACCTCTTCCCTGTCAGCTCTGCCGACAAACACCAACTCCCGGCTGAGAATTGGCAGCCAGGACCCGGTGATTGACATTCCAAGGTACTTCTGCTATAGGGCGGTCGGGAAGCGTTTAAGAAAAAAATAAGGTAACACATCTCAAAACGTTGGGACAGGACCATGTTTACCGCTGTGTAGCATCCTCTCTTCTTCTAACAACACTCTTTAACCATCTAGAAAATGAGGAAACCAGTTGCTGGAGTTTTGGGAGGAATGTTTTCTCATTCTTGCTTGATACAGAATTATAACTGCTCAACAGTCCTGCATCTTCTTTGTTGTATTTTTCATTTCAAGGTGTGCAAGATATTTTCAGTTGGTGAAAGGTCTGGACTGCAGGCAGACCAGCTGAGTGCTCCTGCTGTTTAGTTTTGTCCTGCTAAAAAATATGCAAAGCTTCCCCTGAAAAAGACATTGTGTGGATGGGAGCATATGCTGCTCTAAAACCTGGATATATCTTTGAACATTGATGGTGCCTCTCCAGAGCTGTCCATTCCATATGTACTAATGCGCCTTCATACCATCAGAGATGCAGGCTTTTGAACTGAACTCTGATAAGAAGGTCCCTCTCCTCATTAGTCCAGAGGATGCAGCCCCTATGAGTGCTAAAAAGAATGTCAAACTTCAATTCATCTGACCATTGGAACAGTTTTGCACTTTGCAACAGACCGTTTTAAATGAGCCTTGACCCAGAGAAGAAAGCAGTGTTTCTGGATCATGCTCAAATTTCTTCTTTGCATGATAGAGTTTTATCTTAAATTTTTGGATGGCACGGCTATGTTCACATACAGTGATTTTTGGAAGATTTCCCTGATCCCCTATTTCAGTGGTATCCATCACAGAATCATGCCCGTTTTTAATGCAGTGCCGTTTGAGAGCCCCAAGATCATGGGCATCCAGAATTACATTTCAGCCTTGCACACATATTTCTCCATATTCTCTGAATCTTTTGATGTTATTATGTACTGTAGATGATGATATATTTAAAGTCCTCAATTTTTTCTGAGACACTCTGACTCTCTAAGATGCTCTTTTTTTACCCAATGATGTTACTGACCTGTTACCAATTAACCTAAGTAGGTGTAAAATGTTCTTCCAGCTCTTCCTTGTTAGTGCCAGTTACTTTGCCAGTTGTTGCCCTGTCCCAACTTTTTTGAGAGGTGTTGCTGCCATCTGTTTCAAAATTACCTTATTTTTTTCCAAAAATTGTATTTTTCTACTCAGTTGATATCTTTGATATGTTCTCTATTTTCACTTGTGAATAAAATATGAATTTATGAGATTTGCAAATCAATGCATTCTTTTTTTATGTACAGCTCACACAGCATTCCAACTTTTTTGGTACCAAGGTTCTATGTGCATATGTATGTATATGTATATGTATATGTGTGTGTGTGTGTGTGTGTGTGTGTATACAGTATATACAGTTGTGTTCAAAATAATAGCAGTCAGACATCACTAACCTGATCAATCACTGTTTTTGGTAGAAATGATATTTCTACATGGCAAATAATTTACTAGCAGGTGTAGTAGAATAATAGAAATCCAACAGACCCAACAGTCATGACATGCATGCAGCTGATTATGTGTAATTGAATCACTAATTGAAAGGGGCATGTTCAAAATAATAGCAGTGTGGAGTTCTTAGTGAGGTCATTCATTCTTTGAAAAACAGGTGGCAATTATTGCCCTTATTTAAGGAAGGAAGGCAGCAAATGTACATGCTGGTTACAGTGCATTTCTCTCTGAAATTCTGAGGAAAATGGGTCATTCTAGACATTGTTCAGAAGAACAGCGTACCTTGATTAAAAAGTGGATTGGAGAGGGGAAAACATATAAAGAAGTGCAGAAAATGATAGGCTGCTCAGCTAAAATGATCGCAAATGCTTTAAAATGGCAACCAAAACCTGAAAGACGTGGAAGAAAGCGAAAAACTACCATTCGAATGGATAGAAGAATAGCCAAAATGGCAAGGACTCACTGTGAAGACAGTGAAGCATGGGTGCGCAAGCATCATGATATGGGGATGTTTCTCATACTACGGTATTGGGCCTATTTATCGCATACCAGGGATCATGGATCAGTTTTAATACATCAGAATACCTGAAGAGGTCATGCTGCCTTATGCTGAAGAGGAAATGCCCTTGAAATGGGTGTTCCAACAAGACAACGACCCCAAACACACCAGTAAACGTGCAACATCTTGGTTCCAGACCAACAAGATTGACATTATGGAGTGGCCAGCCCAATCCCCAGATCTTAATCCAATAGAAAGCTTGTGGGGTGACATCAAAAATGCAGTTTCTGAGGCAAAACCAAGAAATAGAGAAGAACTGTGGAATGTAGTCCAGTCATCCTGGGCTGGAATACCTGTTCACAGGTGCCAGAAGTTGGTTGACTCCATGCAACACAGATGTACAGCAGTTCTCAGAAACAGTGCTTATACAACTAAATATTAATTAAGTGATTCAAAGGAAAGCAAAATCTTCAAACATTTTTCAGTTTATATAGTGAATGTTTGAGCTTGTAAAGAAGAATACAAACACTGCTATTTTTTTGAACAGTCTAATCACTTTTCTTCAATTTTTTTAGAGGAACAACACAAATTTGATATATTTTTCTTCATGTTTTGATTTGGAATTGAATGTGTAGTGTTCCCAATGTATTTTTGTGTACGGAAATAAAAGCTATTAGAAGGATTTTGAGCTTTATTCACTTTTTTCAACACATTGCTATTATTTTGAACACAACTGTATATAAATTATTATTTATTTCCACTAGTGTTCTTTCCCTGATTGGGGGACTTCCCTCCTCATCGCTGGACTGTCAGCACATCAGGCATAACTCACCTCTATCCAAACTTGAAAGTCGCATTCTTTTGTAGTCCAAGTAGCTGCAGGCCGGGTCATTCACCAGCCCTGAGCATGTCTAAAACAAAGAGCTGGGATGTTGATGATATCAGCATCCATGTTTGATTAAATATGGGTATGTATCAATATAAAGGTGCTGATATCACCAGCATCCCACCCCTTTGTTTTACATGTGCTGGGGGTGTTGAATTAACTGTCCCACACCATTTTGGATTAGAAAAGCATGCAACTTTCAAGTTCAGATAGAGATGAGTTCAAAGGATGCTGACAATTATCCTTTAGTCACCATTCATACCATTGCACAATGCACCTTTGTATTCCTGCTGTTAATGGTGCTTGCGCTGCATCTTTGCACTCCTGCTCTTAGTGATGCTTGTACTATCTCTCTGCAGGATCTGCTGGTTCTAGAAGAGCAGGAGGTATGTTTTGCTTTGCCATTTTTGGTCTTCTGCTTATTCATATTAGAGGGAGATATTGCTGATGGGCAGTTTGATAGAGTGCGTTTTTAGGGCACATTCACACATCTGCTTTTTAGGTGCATTTGTATCCCTGTTAAACATGCATGCTACTGACAACCAAAGATGCAGCAAGTAGGTTATTTTGTAAAGCACCATAAACACAGTGTTCCAAAACACTTAAGTGTGAATTAACCAAGTCAGGGTGCCAAGCTGGCCTTAAGTTTACTGATAATACTTTAAGAAAACCGCCTAGTTAAGGGGAACCTGTTATGAGGGAAGTATGCAGGCTATAGTTGCCTGGCTTCAATATTTTATTAGAGACTGACCTGCAGCAAGCATGTAGCCAGTAAGGTCTTAATCTACATACATTTTCTGGATTGGTAATTTCACATATTATGAAGCCAGTTGATAAACATTAAGGCCAGCAGTAATTGGCGTACATATACTGTATTTCCCTCATAATAGGTTTCCGTTGAGATTCTTTGTATAGGCCTTGAAAAAAATGCAAATGTTAAAGGCATTCATTTGTTTTTCCTTTATTTGAATATGTATCATTCACATACTGGTGTACTGCTGACTGGGATGCTTATATTTACCTCCCAAACAGAGGATGTACTGTATATTACATGTACACAGGCTGTATGTTGGTTTTGTGCTGGGCAGCACTCCGCATTGTGATCGCAGCTGCCTAGCTCCTACATTTACCACATTTTATCATTACAAAATGTAACTAATCATTGTTGCAAAATAGATAAAGTGGTCAGTGTGGGCTGTCTAATATTTTAGCAACATGACTGCAAAATTTTTTGACATGTCAAAATTTTCTTAGAAATTGGTCAAGTATACAGGTGAAACTTGAAAAATTAGAATATTGTGCAAAAGTTCATTTATTTCAGTAATGCAACTTAAAAGGTGAAACTAATATATGAGAGAGACTCATTACATGCAACAGTAAAAATATTCTAATTTTTTGAGTTTCACCTGTAAATATAGGTTGGCAGCTCAGTCCTGGGGTCCCTCTAATTTTGAATAAATAATTTTACTGTCCTGAAAACTGAATTGTCAAATTATTTAGATGGTATTGTAGGAAATGTGAGTAATACGGGCAGTCCACTCACAGTTGTGTAATTAAACTCATTTCATGGGAAGAGGTACTTTATTGGTGAATTGTTCCGTGTATGACATTTGCTGATCCTGCTCTTTCTTCCTCTTTTCCCCCCTCTAATCACCGCTTGTTTTTTTCTTCTTTCTCGTCCTCTCTTTCTTCCTTCTTTTCATTCTTTTCCTATCCTTTAACTTTCTTCTCTTTCTTTCTGCTTTGCGCTTCCCGTCTTCTTCCATTCCCTCTTTCCTATCCCCCCTTCCCTCTTACATGCAAACACACACACACACTTGTCTTCTAACTTCTTACCGCGATCTTCTCTTCCCTTTTCTGCTGCTTCTTTTTATTTTCCATTTCTTGTTTACTTCCTCTTTCTCTATGCCTTACTCTGTTTTTCCCTCCATGTACCCATCATTTTCTTGTCTCTCATATACTTTCCCTTCCCTTTTTTCATCTTTCCTTTCCCCTTCTCTACTGCTTCCTCTCTTTTCCACTCTTCCTTTCCCATACCTATCTGCCTTGCTCTCTTCTTTCTTTATTCCTCCTCTTTTCTTTCGTTTCCTTGTACCTATCATTTTCCTCTCTCTTGTATTCTCCCCCTTCCTTTTTCTCCTTTTCTTCTTTCCTCTCCCTTTCTCTATCTTCCACTTTTTGTGTCTCGTTCCTCTCTGTCTTGCTTTCTTCTTGTCCTTTTCCTCTCTGCTTACCACTCTTCTTTCCCCTTCATTGTCCTCAACCTTTTTCCACCCGGTTCCTGTCTTCCCCTACTCTCATCTGCTCTCTTTTCCTCTTCCATCTAGGGCTCTGTGAATTTTAAATTTGGAGTTCTTTATGCCAAAGACGGACAGTTGACAGATGATGAAATGTTTAGTAATGGTGAGTGCCATTTGTCTATGCTGTGAAAGTACAAACTTTGATATAAACCTCAGACCTAGATCATGTTCAGCTACTAAGAAAATGTTTCCTTTCACTGGAGAAATAGGACATCCTGGCTTACATCTTCCATGACCAGCTGATCTGTTAGCTAAATATCTGAGTTTACTGGTATTCTGATTGTCCGAATGGCTCAAAACGCAGGCAGTAACGTGTTCCAGGGTTTCAACCCTGCCCTTTGTAGTTCTAAGAGTTACAAGAGGCTGTAGTTCTCTTTGGAAGCATTATGAAAAACTGCTGATCTGACTTGGATAGAGATTACATAAAAGTCTCATTCACCCTGTACAATTGTACCATTTTACCTGGTACAGTACTGTTTATTACACATGTGACTAGTACATGAGACATGTACGTGTTTGTATTGAGTTTTACCTGTAATTCTTGGCTGTCAAATTGACAGCTGGAGTCCAATCTGCGTATTAGGAGCTGCTCTCATTGCTGGTACTGGTACAAGAGCACCGACAGCTGTCAAATTGACAGCTATGCATAGCAGATTACACCAGGATATTGGCACTCTCTGTGTTTATTCTAGAAGGCTCTGTGGATAGTTTGACTGCCTGTCCAGCTCTGTGTATCAGAAGCTACTGACAGCAACTGCAATTGTGAAAAAAAAATGTTGTTCCTATTTAACGCCTTAGTAACCTTATCCTTAATTTTTACTGTTCATATTATAGCACAATATTACAAAGTGAATGGATTTTCTGATATTATCTTTTTAACTCTTTGGAAATTCCAACTCTACATATGTGTTGCACCACAGAAGATATTACTTCACAGTGGAACTTGTTGTGGGTAAAAATTATACTAAAGTGGAATACTAGCTTGTTTCTGGGTATGTGCCCTGAATGGATTGGTGGCTGTGTTAGTAAAGGATCTTTCAGAGGGTAAGCTTACCACTCTTTGAAAAGCGATTTGTGGTAGATGCTTTATAGCAGTGGCTGGCAAGCTTCAAGAGGCATTACTGCCACCTACTTACACCTGCTTTTCTATATTTCACTTTTTTTTTTTAAATTGCAGAATGGCAATTTTACATTGTGGGCTTGTGTTGCAACTGCAAGCCAAACGCTTGGCTTATGGTTGTAATGTGGATCTGATCTCAATGGGTGAATCTGACATATGATGCTACCTGTCAAACTCTGAAGCTGCCTGTTTTTACTGCCCCTCTACAACCAACGTGAAAGAGCCCTAAGAAAACTAACTGTTGAGACATTTCTTTTTCAATAAATGTTAATATATGAGATTAATACTCCATCTCTCTTTTTTTCCTCCAGAAGCAGGAAGTGAAAGTTTCCAGAAGTTATTAAATTTGCTAGGAGACACCATCACGCTCAAGAGCTGGATCGGTTACAGGGGGGGACTGGACACCAAAAGTAAGTGCCCCTTTATGCCATCTGGTACATACAACTGTACCTGGGTTAACATCGGGGGGTGGATATGTAATTTTCCTAGAAAATATTGATGGGAGTAGTGTATTCATCTTATTCTTACCAGGGAATAACAAGCATACTGTCTGTTCTGTGGCCCAGTGCAGGGGCCAACTACTGTACATTTCGCTTTGTGGTCCTCAGGGCCGAATAGTTAATGAATGTGGATTATGGAGTAGATTTTAAAAACTAAGCAGAAAGATTTGTTTGACAGATATTTTATTTCCTGCTCATTTCTTTCAGATGATACAACGGGAATGCATTCCGTCTATACTGTTTACCAAGGACATGAAATAATGTTTCATGTCTCTACAATGTTACCGTACTCAAAAGAGAACAAACAGCAGGTACGTCTTATGTTTCCTAAGCCAGCATTAGTAAAATAATAGTTGTAGACAGGGGCGGACTGACAACTCATGGAGCCCCCAGGCAATAGACAATCATGGGGCCCCTGTGTCCTTGCCCACACTCAAAAAAGCCTATAAAAAAGGTACCAGGGGCATTTCATGCGGCACCCCTACTTACCCGGGGCCCTCAGGCAGTGCCGAGTGTTCGAATGGTCAGTCCGCCCCTGGTTGTAGATACAAGTCTACAGCACACGGCTGAAATAATGGAATGAATGATAATGGTGGTCATAGGGGTAAAGCGGTAGTCCACCAAAGTGATAATCTGTGTTTTCCAGGTAGAAAGAAAACGACACATCGGTAATGATATCGTCACCATCGTCTTTCAGGAAGGTGAAGAGTCTTCTCCATCATTTAAGCCCTCTATGATCCGCTCTCACTTCACTCGTATCCTTTCATCATTGTTGCTTTCCGGAACTTTGGAGTGGTTGTGGATGTGTGAGGGGAAAGAAGTGATAATATTTAGTGCTGGAAACAAGATTGCTCCACTTTGGCTTAGTTGGTCTCAGCAGTCCTAACCATGACCAGGGACTCTAATTAGGTTTATACTGAAGTTCAGGTTACTAAGCTTCATTCAGGCAGCAGCAAAGAATTTTTGGACTTCAGCTTTTTTTTCCTTAATAATGTTTGCAGATATTTTTGCCTTAGTGAGATACAACAAACAGAACGACAGTTACAGGTGAGTTCAGGAAGACAGTGGCGTACCTAGCACATCTGGCACTCATGGCTGATCATTTTTTTTTACACCCCCCCCCCCCCCCCCCCAAAAATAAGGTATGCAGTAAAAAACAGCGTGCGCAGTGTACCATACTAAATTGTGTTTGTAGGCAAATACCAATAACAGTGGGAGGGGCATAAAGGGGCATATTTAAAAAATAAAACCTGAGCCTTCTTTCCCTATACTTAGCACACATATACCACGGTCCTTTTACCCACAAAATATGTTTTCGTGACTGTGCCACAAGCAAAGAGTGTAACAGACATGTACAAACATCAGCATACTCATTTTAATAAAATTAAACTGTTCTAATACATATCCTTTTTTACACACCTTCAGCTTCAGAAGTAGTGTACTTAGAGTGCAAAAGTAAGGAGCATGATATGTATGGCTTGCCATACGCTATACAATCTGATTCTACAATTTCCTATAGCCCATCAACTAACTGATTTGGTATATTTTGAATGCATTGTTTAGGGTTGTCCTTGTATCACATACAGTAGTTTTGCAAAATCTAAAGGAGATTGTACAATCAGATTGTAAAAGGTATGACCAGCTTAAAACATGAAAGGGGGGGTGGGGGATTTATCAAAACTAGAGCTTCAGTTTTTTTCAGTTGAACTTTGAAAATGAAAGTTATAAGGCCACTTTACAGAGTATGACCAATTTTACCCCCTCTTCCCAGTACAAACGATCCCCCTTCCCTCATACCCCCCACAGTACAGATCTCCCCTAACATTTCTAAAGCTCCCTCCCAGCCTACAGCCCGTAGTACAGACTCCCCACTAACAAAGACATCTAAGTACAGACACCTCCCCCCCCCCCCCCCCCCTCAACATGGCCTCTCAGGACAGTGGACCCCCCAGCACAAACCCCTAAGTACATACCCACACCCAGCACAAACTCCTCAGTACAGACTCTCCTCCCAGCACAGACTGACCCCCCCAACACAGATCCCTCAGTACAGGCTCAACTCCCCAACACACATGGACACACATGGACCTTCAGCACAGATGGACCCCCTGCCTTTCCCAAGTACAGAATCCTCCGTACAGACCCGCCCTTCCCCCCGTAAAGAATCCTCTGTACAGACACCCCTTCCTCCCATAAAGAATCCTCAACACAGACATACTCCATCCTCCACCCCGCTCAGGTGCAGAACCCTCAGTACAGATCTCCCCCTCCCTAGACTCAGTCGCCATATGCAGCAGAAGCTCAGTGAAAGGAAGTCCTTCTCTTGGCTCTGTCAATGAGCGAGGAGGGAAGGAGACTTCCTCCCACTCTGAGCTCCTACTGTCACTGAAACACCAGACGCAGATTTGCTGGGGATCACGTGACTGCCTGACCTGTCTTTTTTTTTTTTTTGTGTTGCACAGCGCTGAGCTGCAGGACCACGCAAAACAAAAAAAGAAATGTCAGGCAGCCGCAGAACCCCCAGCACTGCTCATCTCTTTGTACACAACTGCAGGGAGATTACATGCCTGTGAGCATTGACATGACACATGACAGTCATCCAAGGGTGTAATTCTGGTTCTTCATTCTGATACCTGGCAGATTAAAGATATTTTCAGAAGAAAGTGTACCACTGTTTGGGCCTCCACTTCCCTCTCCTCCTGTCTTCACTGACCACCAAGAATTCAGGGATTTTCTTCTAGTAAAGTGTAAGTCTACTTTCTTAGTTATTGTATATATTGTAGAAATCTATCTGCTGTTCAGTGGTGATGTACATACATACATCTAGAAGACATGATTACATGTCCTTCTGCTAATCTTTGTATGGAGGAGAGAAACGCTGGGAGATGGCAGTAGAGGGACTTTATATGTGCACATCTGAGATGTAACTGAAAACTCTTTCATTTTAAGATTTAACCTGTTTCTTTCCTTTTTTCATACTTTTGATTCTGTTGTGGTTTTGTACACTCTTCTGTCTCTTACAGTAATAAATGGTGAGAAGGCAACTCTGGAAACACCAACTTTCGCTCAGAAGCGACAGAGGACATTGGACATGCTGATCCGATCGCTGTATCAGGATCTTATGCCAGATTTACACAAGGTATTCTTAATTTCATATGTGACATATTCCATCTTAGTGTAACATTGCAATTTCCTCAATCATCATGTCACTGTTTAGCCTGCAGTTTCCTGCCTGTGAATTTCCTACTTCCTTGCTGCAGTGGTTCTGCTAGATCTGTGATCCTATTCATGTGTTGTTGGCTTCTGTGTTCACTTATTGGTGTTGCCTGCTATACTGTTGATTTACAGTATATCCCTTTCCCTTCAATCACTCCCTAGTCCACCTCCCAGTCTGCTTCCCTGTACAAGACATGCTCAGTGCAGCCTGCGTTTCCTGAGCAGCTTCCTAGTTTCTCTGTGCTCCTGGTTGCTTAGTATTACTTGTATTCTTTGTCTGATTTCCCATGTATCGACCGCAGCATAGTCTACAATTTGTGCTTGCCTGCCTACTGCCCTGACCTCAGCTTGTTTCCCAAATCTTTCTCTGTCTCCTGCCACCTTTACTATACACATGTGAGTGGTCTCCGCTTCTTTAGCTGAGTGTACTTAGGGGTTGGGACCTGGTTCCAGCTTGCTAAAAGTCCATCCTCGCCATCAGGGTTCCTGGTGAAGAAGCAGGCTGGGGCTTAGACTCCACGATCTGGGGAACCCTGAATTGGCTTTCAAGGGCTCACCACCATAGAAACCTGACATACCAATTTCTTCTCTCTGTCAGCTGACCAATGCTCCAGATCTGGGGGTTCTTTTAACAGAAGTCAAATGCACTCTCTGTGTAAGTGGGGTAGTAGACTCATTCTGTTGATGTGCAGAGGTGCTCTCATATTCTGGGGCAAACAAAAAGAGCACCTGGCTCAGGCCCAGCAGGAAAGGGCACAGTCTACATTAGATATTAAATATCTCTTTCAACAAGTTGACCCTCGTGATCATAATTCCAAGATAACGTTGATCATGAAAAAAAAATACAATGTTAAATCCACTGTAAGCATAACATGTAGAACTTTCTGAACTATAAATATATTGCTTGTGCCCTAGGAGGTTGGATGCACTTCCACAGCTCTGCTGTGAAAAATCTAACTTTTTTTTTGCGGTTTCTTTTTCATCTTTGTGGAATTCTTTCCGTGGTGCTTTCAGTCAAATTCCTTGCTACACTGCTGCTTGAACTGGATGCTTTATAGCAGTTATCTGGACTGGCGTTTTCTCGGCACTAGCTTTGAAAGCCATACCCCAGCCTGGACTGGACAATTGCGGTCTAGCATGAAATGTGACTTACAGGCACTGTGCTCTGTACCTTGGCACTTTCAAGTTCTAAAATGTACTTGTTATATAGCAGAGGAGTGTTTTCAGGTCCAGAACCATGGCACGGTCCCAGGTGTGACCCTGCCTCTGAAAACTGACTGAGCTAGACCAAACAGGCTAAAGCACAAACTGCTAACTTTCCATAGCATGGCCGGGCACCTTTTTGTCACCTCTGTGTGCTCCGTGCTCTCTGTTCCACCATTTAGTGTAGAGGAGGTATCTTGTGGATACTTGGTCCCCTACCCTTCCCCTCGCAGCATCTAGATCTGTCTTTCCAGAGGCCTCAGAACAGGCCAGGCCACCAGCCACTGTGATCTTCTGTGACCCAACAATCTGTTTCTGAAGAGACAGTTTTTTGAGGCACTGCAGTCTCCTGTGGTCACCTCAGAATTATAGGGTTTTTTTCTGATGTATCACTGGATCTTTGGGTTCAGGATCCTCCCTAGATCTGGATAGACAGTAGGGGTAAGAAAAATTGCTCTTCAGTAAAGTTTTGAGACCAAGGAGTCTATTTTCAGCTATTTTCAGCCCTTCTGGTCATTTCCAACTCACCAATCTTGTACCAAAGTTTATATTCCTTCCCTTTCCTACCCTTCTGAAAGTGCTTCCTTGCACCCTACCCCTTCAGTTGTTTGACTCTCTGGAACAAAATACCTTAGCTATCTTGCAAGCTGTTGTGTTCTAGCTAATTCAGGATTCTTAGGCTTGCCTACTGCAATTAGTTATATGGCCTCTCGTCCCTTAATCTTATGGGATCGTCTGTTTGCTTGAGTCAGGTTGTGGGGTGCCTCCCATATGGAGGTTGATTCTCAGTCCTCTTTGCCATTGCCTGCTCCCCCTTCAGGCCAAGGGCTCAGTCTCATTAGATAACAGATTGCTTCAAGCAGCCTTTGGGCGATTGGCAGTCCCCAGTTATGTTTCAATAGGACATGTGGGATGTTGTTGCTCTGTTGCCCTCCGAATTTCCGTTTTCCTCAATGGACGAAACAGAAAATGGGATTTTTGTGCTAACTGTAAAATCCTTTTTTTTTAGTTCACTGAGTGGCACAAGCCCCACTCCTCTGTGTTTATGTTCATGCTCTTGCACTGCTTTGCCACAAAACTGAGAGATGCTCAGAGTAACCCTAGGTTCACACCTAAGCATTTTCTGCAGCATTGTGCAAAAATGCAGTACAGTCCATTTAACATGATTTCCTATGGGACATGTTCACATCTGCACGTTTTCACCCAGTGCGTTTTTGGGAAAGGGTCAGGGACTTTTTTGAACGCAAAGAGTTGCATTTTTTATTCTATAGACTTCAATGGAAATGCTGCAGAAAAGCATGTATTGTGTTTTTGCTGCATTTTTGCTGTGTTTTTGATGCGTTTTAAATCTGCCTGGAAACAAGAAAAAGATAAACACAAACTGCATCAAAAAAGCAAATGCAAACACACAAAATGCAGTGCAGAAATGGCTGTTTGCTAGTGTCCAGGGGTGGACTGACCATTTGGAAACTCGGGCACTGCCCGAGGGCCCAGGGTCAGTAGGGGGCCCCATGAGATGCCCCTGGTACCTTTTTCATAGTATTTTTTGAGTTTGGGCAAGGACACAGGGGCCCCATGATCCCCTATTGCCCAGGGGCCCCATGAGTTGTCAGTCCGCCCCTGCTAGTGTCCATTCTATCTTTAGATGGCAGTATAACAGGACAGTATATGAATTTATCTGCCCTTTAATGGACTTCAAGAAAAGCATTTTTTGATGAGTACAAACATCCATTTTTTAAAAGCATATTTTTGAGTAACTGTATTTTTGTGGAGAACACATTCCTATAACATTTTCAGGTCTGCTAAATAGATTTTACTATTTTTGCCTCATGCCTTTACAGGCTTTTGAAGTTTTTCTTGTACCTAAGGCTGTCCATAGTCATTAGAGCAGCTATTCTCAACCAGGGTTCCATGGCACCCTAATGTATCTACAGAGGTTGTAGAGGTTTCTTGAACTGTGGCTGATTGACCTCCTATTTGATGGTGTCTACAGAGTTCCAGGGTCAACACTACTTGGCAAAACCAGCAGCATGACCCAATTATCTTTTTATCTGTCTATAAGCATGGTATTCTGACCACTGTTTGGATTGCATTCTTCCTACTAACCACCAATGTAGGGGCATATTCTCCACTGACCTCCGATAAATTGGTTTTAATAAGTGTTCCCCCAGACCTGAAAATTTGTTTAGGGGTCCTCTGACCAAAAAAGATTGAAAAAGGCTAAATTAGTGGGTGATTAGACACAAAATCTAATTAGCTCCTTATTTCTAGTTTATCGGTATCCATTTAATTGGCCCCCTGGGGGCACGGTGCCAGTGAAGAGTGTAGTAGAGAGTTTACAAAGTAGCCCTGATTTTAGAGTAAGAAAAGAAAATAAATAATTTATGCAGTATGATGTTTATAGAAGCCATGTATCCAGCCTCCAGGTTGTTATCTGCAGATGATGGATTCTCTAGACTCTGAGAACAAGCCAATCGTTGGCATTACTCTCCTTAAGTGTGTAAAACAACAGCCATCCTGTGCCTGGCTTTGTGAGGTGCAGGGATTATTTTTCACCAGACACAGAAGTATTCATAGTAACTAAAGATCTCTAATAATACCACCAATGCAACATTAAAGTGTACTTTTTACTTTTGTAGCCAAATTGGGATAACACCCACTTTATCTTTGTTACATGTTCTCACTCACATAGCATAACTTTAAAAAAAAAAAAATCGCTGCTTATCTTTTATTTGCTCTTTTATGAAAATTTCAAAACTGAGGTATACCTCTACTATGCTGATGGGGATGGGGAGTTAAAGTGTTACTAAACCAACATCAGAAAAATCAGTCTGTATATGCAGTAAAGTATGCTTGTTATACTACTCACTGTGGAACCTAAGGGGTTAATCCTCTGCATTGTGTGAAAAAGGATGTTTGATCCTGTCTTCTCTGATCCTACCCTTCTACTGTCCCCAGTCCATCTGCTGATAGAACAAAGCCTTAGGGGCAAGCTGCACATGCTCAGTTTGGTCTGTATTGCTAAAGTTTTTTTTTTATTGGGAGAGTGCAGGTAATCAGCACAGGGCTAATCAGCACTGTGCAGACAGAGGGTTAGGAGTTATGTAGCCTCATAGGACAATGAGGGAAAAATTAAATCTGCTCCTACACGCTTTAACCAGTGCTCTGCTGCTGGGCACTGATGAAAGTCACAAGACTGCTCTAACTGCTGATGGCGAAAGGTATTTAGCAGTTTATATTTATTAAAATAATTGCATTTCCATGTTCTCTGTACTGCGGGAGACCAGATATAGTAAATGCAGGGTCCTGGGTTTAGTAACACTTTAATGTTTACCATAATTAACCCTGTCTGTACTGTCCTGGCAGATCTCATTATCAGTTGTAAGTTAGGTTGGAACCTAACAAAGGGTTAAAGATTTAGAAACCGGGCTTCTGCATACTATGTTAATGATGGAAAACTCAATGGGGTTGATTTACTAAAGTGTAGTGCTCCAGATCTAGCTCTGGAGCAACTGTACTTGCAGTGCACATTATATTTGCCTTTAGTAAAACAACCATAATGTGTCCCACTTTGTCGTTGAGTTTTCTCAATTTCAATTGTTTAGAGTAGCTTGCAGTCTGTCCGAGGCCTGCTCCAAACAAACACCTAGAAAGGTAAGAAACATTTTTAAAGTGATTCTAAAAGCTCAAATGTTATTCTCTGAAAATAACAAACATGTCATACTTATCTGCTCTGTGCATTGGCTTTGCACAGAGCAGCCCTGATCCTCCTCTTCTAGAGGCCCTTGTTGGTGCTCCTGGCTCCCTCCCCCCCCCCACCGAGTGCCCCCATAGCAGAGCACTTGCTATGTGGGTAATCGTCCATAAGGCACACAGAGCTCGCCCTGCCACCTGCTTCCTCCTCACTGGCTGTGATTGACAGTAACAGGAGCCAATGGCTCCTTCTGCTGTGTTTGAGCCAATGAGGAGAGAGAGCCTCTGCTCTAGTGCACATCGCTAGATCGAGATCGGGCTCAGGAAAGTATTAGGGGGCTGGGGGAGCTGTAGCATGAAGGTAAAAAACCTTCTGCTATCAGAACCACTTTAAAATTATTTTTAGGTATACAGTGTGAATGGGAACACATAACAGACATATAGTTTTCTCGAGTTTGACTGCAAACCTGGCAATATACTTTAGGGAAAGTAAATATGGGATCTATTCGTGGCCTGTGAGAGATTATGTGAGAAATTCAATATTTAATGCCCCTAAAATATCATTTACAGGCAGTTTTAGGTTGGTTCATCTCACCCATCTTGTAAAAGTTGGTATTCCACATGAATTACCCAGTCCTTCCACTTGATACCTCCTATTTTTTTCTTTCGCCAGCTCAGTCCTTCTGCTCCTGCTACCTAATCCCTCATGGTGATCCTTTCAGATTTTTCCCTCAGCTGTCCCTTCCACCTGATTCTTCCTAGTGATTTAGCTGTTTACTTCTACTAATTTTTCCAGCATTGTGCCTGGTTCACAATAGTGAGATTTTAAATACGATTTCAGTCACACAGAATTGAATGACAATAGAAATCATGTTGCTTTCAATGGTGACCATTCAGCAAAACTGTTCAGCAGAGCGTAAGTTTGGAAAAGGGTCCTGTACTACTTTGGTGTGATGCCAGCCTGTTTTTGCCCCATAGAATATGCAAACCACATCCAAAATTTACAACGAAGTCGCACTACATATTTATACTGAAGATCAGATCAAAGTCATATCGCAGTAGTATGAAACTAGCTTTATCCTTCCCCCTGATACCTGCTTTTAATCCTACCAGCATTATACTTCCTGCTATCCTGTTGATCCTATATTAGTAAACAGAGGCATTCTTGAAGCACTTGACAATAAATGAGAGTTTTCCGTAGAAACATTGGGATTATTGAAAAAGTAGTTGTTGGCACAATAGGCACAAGTTGGCACAAAAGGTGTATTGTGGGCAAAAATGGGTAGTTGCTGGTATAGTTGCAGGACACTTGGTACAGTGGTTCCAAAGTTGGAGACACTAATTCGTGGTTTGTTGTGCTGTTTTAGAACATGCTAAACAGAAGATCTTTCAGTGATGTTTTGCCGGAATCCCCAAAATCTGCAAGGAAAAAGGAAGAGGCACGCCAGGCAGAGTTTGTTAGGATTGGTCAGGTTAGTATCGTGTATCTTTTTACTGAAGTGAGATGTATTGGAAGAGACAGCGGAGCAAACATTTCGTGAACTATGTGACTTTCCCTGTGAGCCCACAGCTTAAACACCATAGGTAAATATCTGTCGGTGTGTAATGTAGTGCTGTAAGCTTGCATCAGGCTTGGGCTGTCCTTTCTCATTTTGCTGTCTGTTCTCTGTGATGACATAGTATGTGTGTAATGATATTTTATGAATCTCTTCTAGGCACTGAAGCTGAAGACCATAGTTAGGGGAGATGCTCCAACTAGTCTGGCCACCACAGGGCTGTACAGGAGGGAGGTAAGATGTCCACCATCAGGTATATAGGATAATTACAGGAATGTCCTACTGACTGGAGGTTGCTGGAGATATACATTTTTTTATCTGTAGAGTAGTTATGGTAAACCACAAAAAATCACATATGGATAATTTTCAAATGAGTTGCAGAAAAAAATGACATCACAACTCCTTACTTAAATTTAGATACTGCTCACAGGTTGTAGTGGTGGAAATGTAATATAGGTGTCAGTACAATATCTGTGCTACAGTACAGTAGAATGGGGGGGGGGGGGGGGCACGAATTATCTCCAGTATATAAAATGCATAGGTATAATACCCTGGTGCAGTATGTGGACTTGTGGGACAAAAGCACTGATTACACACTGATCTTTAGAGAACAAAAAAAGAAGGATTGAGGGGTTATTGCCTGAAAAGACATGCAAGTTCAGCACAACATTAGAGGTACTCTATCTAATTCCCAGTGCTGTGGCCTTTGTTCCTTATGTATGCACTAACTGCCCACCCCTGCAGACTATTTCTCATTGTGTCTCCATGAAGTGCAAATGGCCCCATGCTGTGAGGGAGCACAGGCACCACATCCAAATGATGTCAAGTTCCTACAATGCATAGCAAAGACCTGTAGACAATAATCAGAGGGAACAGTAACATAATGGAGGTTATTTACTAAAGTGCAAAACCTAGTGCAAGTCCGCATAAAAAAACAATCATCTTCCAGGTTTTATTGCCAAAGCTTAATTGAACAAGCTAAAGTTAGAAGCTGATTGGCTACCATGCACAGCTGCACCAGATTCTGAGTGCACCAGTTTTAGTAAAACCCCCCCCCCCCCCCCCCCCCCTCAAATCTCTTCACATCTTCTGTAAATGTTAGTTGTATATTCTAAAGTTCTCCATCTCTAATATGTATTGTAAAATACAATTGACAACAATGGATATAAGATAAGATATATGATAAAGAGCATCTGAGTCTTCTGCAGCTGGCAGGTCAATTTGAGAACATGGCATATCACTGGGGCACTGAGCACTGATTGGAATTGGGTTAATCAAAGCATAGCGCTGGACTGATTTTATCCAATCCTGATGTTACTGGAGCAGGATTTAGTACTCCAGTTCCAGGCCCATTTCTATATGTTTATCCTGTATAAAGAAACAGAAGATATTTTGATGAGTTAATAATGCTTCTGCTTTAATTCTCAGCCCTGGGAGTCTCAGTGTTATTGCAACAACTTCAGCCATGAAGCCATCAATGGTGATTCCTGGGGCCCATCGCTCTTCCTGTCCACAGATGCCGGAGTGTTGCTAATAGATGGTGAGAATCTTCTCATTATCACCAGTGAAGCCATTGGATCAACATTACAGTGAGGCAGCTAGATCATTTAGAAGGCTAGATCAGTAATGGCAGCCCCCATATGCTCTTAGTACAGGTTTTCTTTTTGTTTACATTGCACTATAATACACAGAGCAGCCTAACAGGAATCCTTGTCAACTTTGCTCACGGCTCACTAACAGAAGATGAAGGCTGGTTGCTATGGGTTTCTGCACATCACTGATTGGGGTTTCTGCAATAGTGGATGTGTTGTGAATGTAAAAAGAAGCCGTCACATGGATGGTGGTCTTTCTAATCGCCGAGCTTGCGGTATAAAAGCGCTGCATTTTGTGTAATAAACCCACAAGGCTCTCTCAGGGGAACAATTGCGGAGCTGCAGCTTTGAGGCATAAACGAGTAAGATCTTGCCGCTCGCAGTCTCATTAAAGCTGCTCAGTTCCTTATTGATTCATTTATTTCACTTGTTTTATTAATGTAATGCGCCATTGCCAATTACGGGCTATTTTTAGCTCTTGCTGTAGAAGGCTACAAATTAGCGAGACGTTAATGTTTCCCCAGCTGGAGACGGATAAAACAGAGATTAATGTCTGAGCGATTTGGATCTCCCTCTGTTATACATTTTTTTTGTGTGTGTGCGAAGTCTGGACGATGTGAACATTATCCACTTTGTGTTCATTTGTAAATAGGATGCAGAAGGAGGCTGTTCTGTTTTGCTCAAGGTGGGGTTTTAGGCACAGGTTGGCACTCCAGCAGAGTATGGTATATTGTGCCCAGTACTGATGAATGACCAGTGCTCGCTCTTTCTTTTTTTTCACAGATGGTCAGCCAGAAATCGCCGTGTTTGATAAAACGCTGCAGATAAAACAGATGCATGTCCTGGAAATGCTTGATCTCCTCCTCACCCGAGTGGACAAAGGTGAAGTCACTTGTCATTTTATCATAAAAAAAACAGTGCAGCGCTCTAAGAGACTGTATCTACAACTAAATGGTAATAAATCAATAACATTAATAAAATTGATATAATATAATAGTGCCAAAAAAAATAAAGTAAAAAATTAGTGCCAAACCATGATGAAAAAACATAAAAAAATGAAGTGCCAAACCATAACCATGTAAATGGTGTGTACACAATTAGTAATATTACATCACACTCCAAAAATAACATCCAATAAAGGAAATCTTAGCAGTGCTCACACAGTGCCAAAAAAAAAAAATAAACATAAATAAATGCATCCAGAACAATGTCCTTTTAGTGAAAAATGACATAAATCATGCGATGTGCAATAGTCAGACCCAGATGAAGTCACGAGTAGACGGCGACGTAACGCGTAGGTACACGAGTTCGTAGTTCCGGTGCGTGGTGACGCATTTCCGGCGGCCATTTTGCTACACCCAAGAGGTCCCAGCCACATGCAGTACACCCACACATCAGTGAGGAGGGAAGATTGTCTGTAATGTGAGTGAAACCTTTTTTACTCTTTTAAATAAACCGAGTTAATCGAATACTGCACTTAGAGGCTTTTTTGTGGCTCACTGGATTGTGAGCTATTACTCTTCAGGACCGCCCTGACTGAATAGGGGAATTAGGAGCCCCTCTAAGGAGATCCAGGGAAGGAAGGAAGCTGCTGGCCATGGTCTATTAAGGATCCAGGGTGATCCTGCAAGCCTGTTGACCCCTTGGGGTCAGTAGGAGGAGGTGAGGAGGCAATTTAGCCGCTAACGAGGAGGAGTTTGGCACAGTCACGTGTTGCATTCAATATCACTATTGCACATCGCATGATTTATGTCATTTTTCACTAAAAGGACATTGTTCTGGATGCATTTATTTATGTTTATTTATTTTTTTTTGGCACTGTGTGAGCACTGCTAAGATTTCCTTTATTGGATGTTATTTTTGGAGTGTGATTTAATATTACTAATTGTGTACACACCATTTACATGGTTATGGTTTGGCACTTCATTTTTTTATGTTTTTTCATCATGGTTTGGCACTAATTTTTTACTTTATTTTTTTTGGCACTATTATATTATATCAATTTTATTAATGTTATTGATTTATTACCATTTAGTTGTAGATACAGTCTCTTAGAGCGCTGCACTGTTTTTTTTATGATTTATTGACACTGTGGATTGGTATCAGTTTTGAGTGCTGGCGGCTATTGAATAGGTTGAGTACTTTCATTCACATAGCGCAGGAGAACCTTGGATTATTTTCAGACACTTGTCATTTTGTTAAAGGGGCTTTACCCTACAGTAGGGGCTCTTACATTCACCATATAGGGGAGACTCTGCCTGTTTCCCTTCAAGAGGTACTCTTCCTGTTACCCTGTTAGAGGGGCCCAACGTGTCACCCTATGGAAAGGACTCTATTTGTCACCTTTAAGAGGAAGCTCTACCTGGCACCCAGTAGGAGGGGCTATACCAGTTACCCTAAATAAGGGCTGTACCTTCTCACCCTGTAGATGGTCTTTATCTTTCACCCTTTAGGAAGGGCTCTATTTCTCACCTTTATAGTAGAAGCTCCATCTTTCACCCTACAGTAGGGGCTCTGTTACCATGGGTTGGTCTTTGTTTACCTAAAATGGCACCAAAGATAGGGCATACATATCAGTGATGGTGGGGGCGACAGGGCATGTTGTGATTCTTCCCCTACTGGAGAAACTATTTTGTGGTGTTGAAAGATCTTATACACGTATAGCATGAAAGACCTATATACCCTTATACTGTTTTACCTGCCAAAGGATTAATAATTCTGCTCAGCTAATATTATGATTTACATACCACTGCCATACTGCACAGCTGTAAATGTCATTATTCTGCTTCTTTACTGCTCAAAGGCAGGGCAGTGATATAAGAAGTTAAATTGCTGAACCAGGATGAGCCTGATTTGTGAAGTGTGTATATATGTTCCTCCCTGAGAAAATCCACCAATATCAGTCATATGGATGCTGCTAGTATTAAAGCTGGTATTGACCAGATAACAGAAACTCAGATTATTTTTGCTGTTTATCACTTCTTTCTCCCCACTAACACCCTAACAAAGTTGGGATTTCCCCCTTGTATTGGGATGATATCCTCTTACTTATTTTTTTATTACCAGGATAGGGAATGAGGGGAAACCTCTTCAATAAAAGATAGGAATGGAATCTTGACAGATTTTTAAAGTCTAGCACACACGTTCAGAAAATCCTACAAAAAAAATCAATTTCGAAGCAATCATACAATAATCTGATCGTTAGTACATAGTTTTCGTCCAAAATTATTTGAAGGGACAAGCACGAAAATTTTTCTTGTACGATACCAGATTGTACGATTTTTCTTTAAGTACAGTTTTTGTCTGAAAATACAATACAAGTACATTACATCACTTCCGAATTTTCTTTGTCTTACATGAATTTTCATAACCTCTTCACTTTCGACTAGCATGCAAAAACAAAACGGACTATCATTCATCCGATATTCTCATCATGTGTACGGGGCTTTACCCACACCTTTCAAAAATGGAAAAATAAAATGTTTGTATTCCCCATAAAATACTTTTCTTGGAGTCAATTGAGGGACACAGGAAGTGTTTAACCTTTGAAGTTACACTGCTACCTACAAAAGAAATAGATGCTCTGTTAGTCAGCACTTTACTCTCTACAGGAGGTTGTCTAATTATCCTACAATACATTGCTGTAGGGGAAATACTGAGGCCAGCCCCTTGGAGAACACCCAAGGTATAGATGAGAGACCAAAGCACAAGGCCACAAGCAATGTTGAAGCCTCATAGAAAAACATAGGAAAGCTGATGCTGGAAAAATGGGGGCATGCAAGTACACATTCTTGATGTCCACAGAAAATGCAAAGTATCCCTGGTTCAGGGAGGTGAGGGAAAAAACCTTGTGGATTCTCTCAATAATCTCTGGACTGGAATGAGGATATTTAGAGTTTTGATATTAAGTTTGGCCAGATCCCGCCTTTGGACATGGGAATGGTGGATAGGTCAGAAAAAAATCCTCAAAACGGTGTCAGTGACACCTAAGTTCAGAAGACCTGAGATGGTTTGAAGGAGACCTTCTAACGTGCACTGACACAGAAGGGATGGAAGTGGGAAATCTGGGAGAAGGCAGGAGTGTAAACTCCAGTTAGAAGCCCTCAGAACCAATTTCCTGAATCATAGATTTGCAAGCAACTGTAAAAAGTTAATAAATTCCCCTTCCTGGCTGGCAGAACACGATTACTGCTATTGGTTATAGCTGTCGCGGTGATCACATGTAAAGAATCTGACAGGCTGGTTGTATTGCAGTTGATTGATGGATCGACTTGAGTACAACCAGCCTGCCCATAGATGGATTGAGTCTGGGCCGGTCCCTGCTGAACTGGCCCAGATTTAATCCATCTATTGCCTGTTTACGGGTTAGGACAGAAAAACTAATCTCCCAAGAGGCTAGATGTATTACAGTACCAAGTACAGTGAGAAGGTCCTCAACATGGCACTGGTTAATACTGTATCCTCTTAATACTTAATGGTAATTATGGATAAGGAACTCTACTAACATCTCGGAAACAACAAGGTGAAGCGTGTGTTGAGATTGCTAGAGTCAACACCTGGGATGGTACTTCTGTTTGAGAACAAACTCACACATTAGATCCAAAGCAACATTGAAAATCGTGAAAAGGAGGCATTTCCACATGCACACTCCCTATCTCCCCTTTAAGAGTTGCGTCATCTAGTGTAGCTAGGGAAGAAGGTAGGGGGTTATAAATGGTAACATATCTGTTGTAAAACCTTTAGCAGAAAATAAAGATGAGAGCTCCCTCATGTGTTCAACTTGCAAAAGTAATAAAGTAGTAGGCCTCATGCACAGAGGGCATTTGCTCAGCTTTCCTAAATGCCTTTTCCTCTGGACAGCAGCATTTTGGAAAAAAAAAGCTTGACGTGTGTAAACACGTAGACACTTTAGGCACTTTTAGGCATGTCAAATGCTTGGGCGTTTAATTAATTTCTTTGTCCAGAATATTAATCTATTCTGGCCATTAACACTCCAGCGCTAAACGCACGTTTAACCTTGTTTACACGCGTATAGGTGCTTCAAGTGGACACACTGGCAAAGGCTTTTTTTTTCTTCTTTTAAACGGCATGCATTTAAACCGCTCCAAACACCTTTGTGTGCAAGGACACATAGGCTAACATGGAGGAGCGTTTAGAGGCCCCAGATGCCTCTAAACGCACTGTTTTTAACACTCAGTGTGCATGAGGCCTTAAGCAACCTGGACAGCTACAATTACTACTGTAGCAGATACCACATACATATCCCCACTACTTAACCACTTGCTGCCCAGTCACTGTGACCGGGCGGTAGCTACATGCTCAGCAACGCAAATAAATATTGCCGGCTTTGCTCTCGGGTTTGGGGCACGGTTGGACACTGCGATTTTGTCAGCAGGTGTCAGCCAATGATTTATGGCTGAGACCTGCTGATCGGCTGTGTTCAATCACACAGGACTCTGTACACAGAGCAGCAAACTGGCTGTTTCTCCTCCCTGCAAAACAGCAAGAAAAAACAGCCAGATCTCTTAGTAAAAGCAGCACATATTACACACATTGCAGTTTTTAGGCACACAGTTAACCCTTTGATTGCCCCTTAATGTTAACCCCTTCGCAGCCAGTGTCATTAGTGCAGTGACAGTGTACAGTATTAGCACTGATCACTGTATTAGTGTCACTATTGATGTCAGTTAGTGTACCTCCCAGCGCAGGGGAGGACATCTGTGGACGCCCTCGCAGAACAGGAGAATCTTGTTGTAGACATCTTTTAGTTATAGCGTGGTACTAAAGTGGTTCATGTGTGAAACCAAGAAAGTATCAGAAAGAAGAAACAGCTCTTTTTGTATAACTTAAGGCAAAACTTTTTTTTCTTTTTCAATTTCAGA